CACCGGACCAAAAGTTGCGCGCGCAATCCTGGCCCAGGGGAGAGGGAAAAGTGAAACTCAAGGAAAAGCGGGGAAATGAAAAAAAAGGGGAAGAAGGGGAGCGTGTGACGTCGTGAAACTTCGTCGCGAAGGGTCTCAGGCCCTCAGCCTAGCGAAACAATGAACAATGGAGAGCCCACACGTGTTAGTCACGTGAAACAGAGAACCTTTCGAAATAACCAGAACTGAGATTTTACGACATGGGACCGTAACCGTTAAATTTATTTTCTTCTCTAAATTTGGATTTTCGAGGAAAGTGTTTACTCAACGAGAATTTGGAGGGTTGTAAATTATAAGAGCAAAACTCAAGTATTTGACATTTACTATTTCCGTAACGGTTTTTCTCACGCTTGCGATGCTGTTTTTCGTTCTCTTTGTCCATTGTATTCCAGACTTTCTTTATTCTTCTATTTCTGGTATATTTTTAATTTCCTGAACTATTTAAATTATTTTCCAACAATAATTTGAATCTCGCGGACTATTATGGCCGATTAATAGCGCCATCTATAAATTTCAACGTCAAGACATCACACCGATTGTACAGTCGTCAAATTAAGTTCTGGGAGTAACTACACGTTGGTTGGCAATGTTGGATTGCACGGAGTATAGGACCGAAACGAACGAGCGGTTCGTACCTCGATGGTTTTAGTTCGTGCTCCAGTGATTGTGTAGAGTGGGGGAATTTGGACGGATTTTGAATGCCGGCAACGACAACTCAAAGTTTCACAATAACAAAAACAAAGTAAATATCCGGAGCACAGTGGGTTTAGGAAAAAAATTGCATAATTTAGAAAAGTATATGTATTTAATTATCACTGACGGTGCTGATGAGTTGGCAAGTGTTGAAGTATTTTGTATTGTCTTCGTCTCGGTATAGAATAGAATAGAAAAAGTGCGGCTGGTCACTTAAAGCGCCCAGAGTCACCTAAATCATACGATCTTTTGTAACTTCCGCCTTAGTTTCGGTCAGTCACATAGCCCCAGCCCTGTGTTTCTTACGAGGCTAATAAGGCTGGTGACAGCCGCTTGTTGTAAGTCCTCTAGTTTCAGGAAAGCCTGGCCCCAGATTTTATAGCGACGGAGTGCTAATAGGGGGCATTCACATAAAATGTGGATGACGCCCTCCTTATCGCCTCCGCACAGTCTGCAGTCTTCTTGTTCTGCAAGTTTCATCTTGAACAGATGAGCTCTGAGAGCTGTATGACCCGTAAGGAGCCCTACTGCTACCCTCAGATCCCCTCTGTGCAACTCCAGAAGCTTTCTGGTCCTAACTCTTAGTTGCCCTCTCATAAGCAGTTTCGCTTGTCTGCAGGTCGCAACTTTCTCCCAACGCCTGACATGATCCCGCTGGAAAT